AGTTTGCTTGAGTGTCCATTAGTGTAGTGAAGCCTAAGCTGATGTATCCTTCCATCACGTGTTTGAGAGCCCGTTTACTCCACAACACACGGTCGCGTGCTTTCAATTTCTTGGATGGGGAGGAATCACGGAAAAACGTTTCAAGTTCTTGTCTGTCTCAAATACAATTCAAAGTGACGACTATTTGGTAACTGATAAGTGGTTTCTTTATAAGGATGTAGAACAGTGGACTGAGGACGGCAGACGGGGTGTTTCACTGGAGGGAACACCAATGTTGCAGCCAAGTGAATGGGAAGGTACGATAGCTGCTTTTCTTGAGTTTGGTTGTGTCCTATTAGGTTCAAGTTTGAGCCACCCACACCGGTCGGTGCGTTGGCTATTCATCTTGGCTGCTTTTCGCCGAAAAAGCGTCTGGATTACACCCAAAGAGTTGGGCTGATTTCGCAATTACTTGATTCCGGAAAACCTGCTCGCTGCATACGATTAATGAGAGAAATTGTCTGCTTTCAAAAGGTGGGGGACGCGTCTCGTAAAGTTAGAAGCTGTCACGGCATTATGATCTACCGCGCCTCCAATATTTATATTACACCCCCGTCGAAGCCAGCAGCAATATACGTCTTCATGCTCAGGTTGACCGGCCACAAAAAAAAAAAAATTATTTTCTCCATTCAGGAGTCGAAGTTCAATGCAGAGAGGTTCTGCGTGAATCTCCGATAAAGACTCTCTTCAGTTTGTCCGTATTCGTCTCCGTGCTATCGGCTAGAACCGTTTGGCTGAGTTTAGGTAGTATCTCTCTGTCTGTCAAATATACTTTCATTCAGCAGTTCACTTAATAGCTAGTAAACTAAGCTCATATTTCAACCCGAAGAATATACTAATGTCGCTTTAGTGAAACATAGTACGTAATATAATACATAACCCGCATATTCGTCAAGATGACTTCTTGATTGCTACTAAAACCTGCATTGAAATACGAGTATCAGCTGCTTAGTGGGGCGCCAGCGGGTTAACATGCTCCTTGGCTCAAAAAGCGCTTGCTTAATTTTCGTAATTTGCCTGCAGCCTGGGTTGTTGAGCGAGCAGACGACTGGAGCTGCACGAAAGCTCGCTTTCGCGGACAGATAAGTCGCATGGTCGAGGCATGAGAGTTAGCTGAAAAATTACTCTCGGTGGAACAATTCTGTAATCATCGCCGCTTTCCTTAGCTGATCAAAACTGATTAGAGTCTATTACCGTCTCTCCGGAGCCCATAGTTTCGGTTTTGAACGAAATCTCTGAAACGAAAGTTTGACATGAGAAGAACGAAAAAACACCGGGAAAACAAAACTATGCTCTCCAAGTTTATGTGCACCGGCTACACTTAACCGTCGCAGTCCAAATACCTATAAAATTGGGCATTAAACAAAAGAAAATCTGTTAAATTGAATGCGCCACCCGTTCAGGCGGCCCGGCCGAGCCGACTGAACCCAGCCGCCATGTTTGTTTGGTGGTGGCGCCCCCTATAGGCAGCTGGAGTCGCGAATACACTCGTACCCAATCCCTGTCACGCGTTTGCCTCTTTAGCTGACATTAAAAATTCAGCACTCCTCTTTCCTCATGGAGGAGCTGTTGACTAAGCCTGTGAACTCCTCACTGATCCCAAACTTAATCATATATTGCCTAATGTCGGAGCGCCGTTTGGACATAAGCACTGCACGTAATTATTCTACTCCAATCAGTGCGTGGCGTTTATATAACGCCAGACACAATGGGATGACGCGTCGTGATAGGTTAAGTATAGTAAGCGTTATTGCCGCTTCGGCGATAATACCTAATGACGTCGCCCTTTCCCAATCTTATGGAGGTATACTGCGACGATTTCTTATGGGTCAATGACTGGCAATGGAAGGTACTTCTTTTCTTTCCCGGCTGAAACTTCCCAGCCGTGGTTGACAGTGTGGGTATTTTCGAGAAACCGCAATGTCGTCTCACATATCTACATCATCAGGGTCGACCGAACTCTAAACACTATACGCAGCGTTTAAGCTGAAAAGGACGCGCCATACTTGTTTTCTGCTCATGCGTGCTGCTGAACACCGAACCTTACATTGTAATAATAAGGAAATCTCGCTATTCATGAGCGCATCAAATAAACTGATGATGATGATGATAATAATAATAATTGTCCAAACTTCTCATTTTTTACAACCGTATGACGTCGTAGAATTCATTACTTCAGTGTTACGTTCTACATAGTGTTTGAGCAGCTAGATCCGTTTCTTCGAATTCAGGTTTATTTAAAGACGGTGTTTTGTTGTCAATCTCCCAGTGGCATTACAACTGTGTTTTCCCGTTCTCACATCCATGTCAGAAATGCCTGTTTAAAAGCGTGCTAATTTTATATGGCATATGCATCACTAAAATATAATTCGTGTTTTTCTTTTCTTTGGCAGCCAGTTAACGTGTTCAATTTTATTTTCTTGTAAAAGAAAGAGAGGGTGATATGAACGCGTTTTACTGATCATGCACGAGCGGTTAATCCTCTTCATTGCTACCAAAGGTTCACCGTGAGCTCGGATTCAATGCGGCAGTATAGTTATAGTGAGTGCTGTTTGTCATTTTTGTTCTATCAGTCTCGGGTATTCGCCATGAAAACAAAAAGGCCGATCGGTCCACATGTTTATTCTAAGGCGAATCGAGCGTGTGACAGGGAGTTTTCATCTTCCATAATTGTTACTATAGTCACTGAGAAAATGAGGACGGCAGGGTGTGTCTTTCTAACGTCCGGCCTTCAACACGCGCTGTATGCCTTCCATCGTGCTTTGGCAACGCGCGCGCGCCTGATGTGCACGATGGAGTTGAAGCGTTGTCGAAGGTACAAAGCTCGCGCTGGAGGCGGGAAGACTGAAGATCCTCCCGGCCGTTTTAACTTTGTCAATACTTGCTGGGTGCAACTTAATTATTATTTCCACTCTTTTTGGTTCTTATGTTATCTGCTAATCTTATCTTATCGGCTTACTCTTATCTTACCGAGTTATCGGCCAATCTTATCTTATCTGATTGTTATTGTCTTATCTTCTTATCGGCTAATCTTACTTTATCGGCTTATTTTAGAGCGCAGCTCTTAGGCGCCCGTTTCCGTGTTTCGCGGAGTCGGCGTCGGCGTCGGTGACGGCGTGACCACGCTAAATTTAGCAGGAAAATTGACGTCACGTGACCTCAACACCAATTCACTTCCCCGCTAAATTTAGTGGGGAAATTCAGCTTCTCAGCTAGATTTAGTGGGCAAATTCAGTTTCTACGCTAGATTTAGCGGACAAGTTCAGTTTCTCCGATAGATTTAGCGGGCAAACTAAGATTCTCCGATAGATTTAGCGAGAATCTCTCTAAATTGGTGTTGAAATCACGTGACGTCAATTTTCCCGCTAAATCTAGCTCAGAAACTTAATTTGTTCATAGAAGACGTGACACCAAGTCATGTGACGTCATTTTCCCCGCTAAATTTAGTGGGGAAACTGAATTGGTATTGAGGTCACGTGGCGTCAGTTTTTTAGCTCGATTTAGTGGGGAAACTGTGGAAGGTGGGGAAGGCGTGGAGGAGGGGGAGGGGAGTGTAGGAGGGGACGAGGAGAGTGTACGGAGGAGGAAAATACCCTCCCTTCCGAACCCTCTTCTCCTCCTCTTCCTGAGCTGCGCTCTAATTTCGCGCTACAGAGATTTGTAAACTTCTTTCATTTTTTGTCTTATTCTGCTAATCTTATTTTGTTCTTATCTTATTGGCCAATCTTATCTTATCGGCTTATCTTTATATGATCTTATCCTTATCATATCGGCTATTCTTATATCGGCTTATTCTTATCTTATCGGCTTATCTTTATATAATCTTATCCTTATCATATCGGCTATTCTTATGTCGGCTTATTCTTACCGGCTTATCGACTAATAAGGAGGTGCCCTGGACTCGCCGCAAACTGCGTTTCTTTAGCTATGATCGACTACATTTGTACGCTTTTTACAGACGGTAAGAGTACATTGTGGTCTCGCTCTTCAATAGAGAATCATTTAGGCGTGCCTCGGTGCTTTCTTGTATGCTTGTCGGAGTGTTCTACACGAAATATTATTTTTTTTCGTCTTTTCATCGAAAGCGGTAAACAGCGAAGTTGCAGTGACTGTCACGAATTAGAAGTATTTGTTTAATATTCTATTTGTGTAGTGTAAGTGACTATGGCGGTAAAAACTCGATTAACCTACCAATTAATCGAGTAACGCATTATTTTCCGATTTATTTATTAACCGAGTCATCGGTCAAAGGTGGACTCTTCTATGGGTTCATCTTTTAGGGGTGATGAGAAATCACTAAATCACCGTGCCGTGTCTTTTGTTTAGTGCATTGTTTTAAATTTTATGCAAACAAAAATGTCTTGGTAACTCACAATGCCTTGCCTTTTTCAGTCATATAAATACTACAAATTAGATGGCAACTTTACGTCATTTTTGTATATTTATTTTTATCCTATTTGGTACAATTTTGTTATCCGCCCATGGTATTTAAATGTAGGTAAAAAAAATAACTTCATGAATACACTCCTTTGTAACTTCATGAATACACTGCTTTGATAACGCTATAAACATCCAAGCAACTGTGTTTTCTGTATATCGAATGTTATCTCTATAGTTTGGCAACATGTTTAACAATTCGGTCAGGCTCCACATCATACCGATTTACTAAAATATCCCAATTACATTTTTTTTTTCTTATTGACGCTCAGTTGTTGCAATAAACGAACAAAATTCAAATAGTACCGTTTGGATAGAGCTAGGCTGCTGGCATGATCAGTAACACTCGAAAACTCAGGGATGTGCCCTTAGTTCGGTTTCTGGACGGCTGAGATCCATCCATGAGCGACATGGTTCTACGAATCTGTCGGCTCCGTTTTCATTTAACTTCCTATCTGCGGGAGCGATTGAGATCGAATAAACTGGACAAAGCTACACATGCATGCGTTCTTCTCAAGTCCCACCTTTTTCTGACTTGGTGAAAGCCCCAGTGTGGCCAACTCCCAGCAGCTGCTGAATGGAGGCGGGCCTCGGGTGAACCTTGGGCAGCTTGGCCGATGGAAGGTGGTGACTCAGCATTTCCGCAACCCCCGTTGGGACAGCCCTGAAGAATAGACGTCCACAAGACGCAAACGGTGAACATCGAGTTAGCTCTACAATAATTGAAGGCATCGGTACTATGTTTTACATACATTTTTCGTTTTGTTTTTATTTCGAAATTGATCTGAAGTAGCCGGCACTGTGCAGAGAGTGACAACATCTCCATCGGTTTTTATATGTGAAAGAAGGAAGAAGATACCAAAGGCATATTTGTGCGGTTGCCCCAACAGTTGCAGAAATTGCGATGTACTTTTCCCGCTATGGTAACAGTTCAATAGAATAAAAAAAAAAGGTTTTTGGCTAGTGTTAAATGTTGTACCGCGCATAGGACCTTGGCACTAGCCCTAAATGCCTTCAAATTTCTCGAAAACCCTTTTGGCTCTCGCCAACTTTTCGGAAGCATCCCCTTGCTTTATTACAAACGGAAAGAGGAAACTGCTTTACTACAAGTGCATGTTTTTTTGCTTAAAACCTCTTTTGACAAAAAAAAAAAAAAAACAAAAAAAAACAAACAACGAGAGTGAAAACAATTTGTCATATTTTGTTTATTTATTATTAATTATTGTTATTATTATTTTTGCTTAAAGAGGTGTTTTGACGCTTTTTTCAGGTAAATGTTGGATGGCGTTTAGAGAACGAGACAACGGTCAGCACCTACATAAAGATTTAAAAGCTCAAATTTGGTGTCACATTTTTTTTATTTCTTTTTTATTGCACGCAACTGCAGTCTAATATAACCTTATTAAAATGTAAAATATTTTTCCTCTGCTTCGTGATAAGAGTATTAAATAACAAGCCATGGTTTAAAAATCATGCGTATTCATGTGTCCCAATTCCTATGTGTTTGATCTATTTCAGCCGAACACTAAAATAAATACTTGCGGGGGAAGCAAATGCGTTACATGCGTCTTTTTCCAATTCATGGCAAAAATATGGTTCCATAGGTCTATATGTTTTGTACCTATCTCATACTGTCCTTGCCGACTCTTTTGTATGGTATTTAATACCATTCGGTGTTTGCCTTTTCACAATTTATCTCGCCGTAAGAAGGAATGTTAACTTCTTTTCGGGCATGCTTGCTCTAAAAAGTCTACAACTATGGTGAACGACCAAAACACTTCAATCTTGCCCCATCATCTGTTTTTAAGGAATGTTCAGCCTGCGAGAAAGAGATACTTACTGTTCCTCTTTGTTATCTATTTTTTTTTCCTTTTATATTCCCCTGTCGCCTAAGGTTATTGATTCTAGTACGCCGTACAGGAGGTTACCCGATACCCGTGTTACAGAGATACCAGAGTTACAGGGTTACCCGAGAGTGCTAACATAATTTGGTTTTCATAATTTGCTCAACCGATTTGTATAATACTTTCCCTTGTGTATTTTCTAGTCTTTTAACCTGTCTAACAACTGAAATCAAACAAGATTTCAAACCAAATATATTTTCTTTTTGAAATTACCGGGTATCCATTAATCAATCGTGAAATTACGTGCGATCAACGTTATCTGGAGCAATTCAATTTAAAAAAAAAACTATCTTCATTGCGGACAGTCCAAGAAACGCAGAAAGTGACAAAAGTTCAATATCTTATTATCTTTTTTTAATCAATAGTTTTGGTAAGGTTTAATTTACACACGGAATAATAAACAAATAAGACAGTGCTCAGAACACGACTTGAAAGGTATGTCATGAGCTGTGCTCAGTCCTATTTGTTTATTCTCTCGTGTGCACATTAAAATCTCATTATCGCTCCTCAATGAATGTCATTAGTCAATACGAGTTTCAAACAACAAATCAGGAAACAAGGAACCTTAACATAATAAGCCGCACCTGCTGTTTTATAAGCTGTTAATGGCTATATAAAAAAAAGTGTACAGGCCCTATTCATGCTCGGTTCATACTCCATCTGGATTTGTATTTTCGATGCGTTTATTCAGTGGCCCTATCGGTTTTCACGACGTCGTATAAGGTACGGCCACTACTCCACGTGTTTGCCCGATAAAAGTGCCGCTTCTAAGAGGGGGCTTCCGAAATCTCTGGCTGAGGGTCGCCGCCAAAGGAAAAGGCTTGGTTTAACGAGCGTTTTAAGGGCGCTTAAAGAGCGCGTTAAAACAGCGGCGCTTCATAACGTCGGCGGCGCATCCGTCGCGGCACCGACCAGCTGTCATTGGCGAGGGCCGGGGGGGGGGGGGGGCCGCCGTGAACCGCTCTCTCCAAACACACCTTCCGGACAAGTGCCGCCGCATGCCGCTGCTCTGAATGCGCGACAGAGCTTTGTGTGGTTGCCGACTCTCTCCACCTTTATCTTCAAACATTCTCGTGCCGAAAACGTCAATGACACGCCGAGAATCTACGCTGAAATGTGTGGATGGATGAATGGTAGTGGCAGAACGCTTACTCTGGAAACGTTGCTTATTTATACGAAAGGTGTTACACCCCGGCTCTCATGACTAGAGTCATCCGAGTCAGATAAGGGGAGATGGAACTTTTCTATTGAAGATGATCTGGGTCTTGTGTCCAGGGTGTTCGTTATCCGAGCCGGAGTGGCTAAACGTTTAGTATTGGGCAGTAGCTTGCGCTACCTAGCCATTTATCGCCTTCCCTCCCAACATTGGCTTAAATTCGGTCTCCCGTTAAATCGCTTAACCCACCTATTTTGTGTGACGTCACGCTTCCCTAGACCCACCAATCTTTTAACTTCCTCTGTGGAATTAGAATCTTTTTGTTCGATCTTCCATTTTTGTGAGTGAAACTAGGTGCTTTTTAAAATGACAAAGTTTTGTTGAAGTGATTCTTTCAGGGAAATACATTCCGAGTACATACTTCACAAACGTCTAGGATCAATTGACTGTGCGATTTCAACATGACCGCATTTGCATTTTCGAAGAGCGAACATATTCAAAACAGAGGAAATTATAATTTCTGTCCATAAAAAGCGCGATCAGCCCAGCCTCTCTAGACAAATCCGACTGCTCAACCCTACTTTTTTTTTTTTATCACATGTGACGACATAGCAGCGAGTAACCCTTTTGATTATGCGCACGGTGCTTGCCTCTTCGCGTTATCTTTAGTTTAATGGTGTCGACTGTGTAAGACCTGTTTGCCTGCACACTCATTGTTGTTTTATATTATGTATCGGTTTCTGGAAGAAAACAAAGATATATAAACGTTATTTTTAGAAACAAAACCACAATATGAAACTTTTTATAATTATATAATCGGTCTAAAACTTTCACGTCGCGGCTTGTAACTAGGGCATTATTTAAGCTACCGACAAAACGTTTCGCGATGCCACTTTCGTTTCTAATTGACGAGATTGTACTGTAGGTTCTGTCAAATTAAATAAACACTTTCACTAATGAAAGTGTTTGACATTGCGACGTGACAGTGCGACGCGCTTCCGCCAGAAAAAGAAAAAAAGAATGGTAATACTTACCAGTCTTCTACATCACAGTCCCGAAAGCCTTTGGCAAAAGGATTACTGGCAATCTTCAGCTGGGTTATCTAAAGAAGAGAAAAAAATAACCATTCGTTTTGATTTTAAAGAATAGGGCATGTAAAAGTCTATAAGCGCGCTAAGTACCCTCAAGGTGCTCAGACCATAAGGAAGTCCTGGCTGCGCAGTGGTTACTTTGGCATCATAAGTAGTGGTCTCCTTGTAACGCGGGAGAATATAAACAATTCAGTTCAGATAGCAAAACTAGCAGACTGTGAGGCGCGTGCTTTCGGCTCTGCAGTTTCAACACACGCGCTAGACGCACATAGTAAGGGCACCGATCGAGTAGAAAACGTTGTATGAAAAGACGAAATCGAAATTTTTTATGCAGGTGTTGAGACAGAACGAATAACGTCCTAACGGCAGGCACCATGCTCAAATAACTAAATTAAATAAAATTAATCTTGCTTGAAATGTAGAACCTTGAGTTTTTGCTGAAAAGGGGTATTATTGCGAGTGCCGCACAGTTGTTATCCCAATGTTTTTCGTGCGCATCACTCGTCCTTAGACAAATTTACACTACTGAAATATTCATATGACAAAAAGAAATGATATTACAAACAAATTAATACTCTAAAAGAATGAGTTCCGGAAGTCTTGAAATGGCAGCCGTCGCATTGAAATATCCGCCTTCGCCTGTGGAGGGCTAAACGATTTCGTTATTAAAATGTCAATTTACATTTTATGATGCGCAGCATGTTTCTTTGTTCTCAAATTCTCCCTGACAACGTTTGCTATTTTTGTGCTTTCTTGAGGTATACAGGCCTCGCGGGCGTTTCCGAAAACCACTCACAAAAAACAAAAAACAAAGAAAAACGTGTTTTTCAGCCCGGGTACATAAACTATGTGTCGTAGAAAGCTGGAACTCATTGAGAATGTTACGTTAGCGGTTGGGATAGAACGCAAAATTTTGAGAACATGTCGTTGCCTGAATTGCAAGATGCATAATAAAAGACGAAAATTCATTATGAGGCGACTTCCACCTAAGCCTAATATCGTCAAAGCAAGAAATGATATTCTAAGCGCCTGTAGCATCCATTTCAGTAAAAGAAAAAAAAAACTTTTTAGCAAGGAAAAAAAGAAAGCAATATTACTTCCGTGCCGGCAACCCTTTTTCACTGATATAAATACCACATGCGTCTCAAATGTCTCTCCTTGTTTTGATAATATTAGGCTTAGGTAGATGTCGGTTCACAGAGAAATTTCGTCTTTCTCAATTATCTTTCGATCCAGGTAATGTCATGTTCTCAAACTTTCGCGTTCTTTCCCAAACGTTAGGATCACATTCTCACAAAGTGTGAGCTTTCTGCAAGGAATAGTTTGTTTACCCGGGCCGAAAAACACGGTTCTCTTGTCTCGGGAACGCCCTGTACTATAACGTCCAAGAAGCAATTCTTTAACTTCATGCGCTCATTTTTTTTTTTTTTTTGTAACGTAGTGCAGATAACGAAAAGATGAGAGCTATAGCAAGGAGAGATATGGGTATATCATCGAGAGGCAAGGTTCTACCTGGTTGACGAAACATAGCTTGCTAATTAGAATGAAAGTATCCTAAAGTTATCAGCGCAATATCACTCATACACACCAACTGCCGGTGTGTGTGAGTGATCTTGTGCTGTTAACCTTAGGATATGAATCACCAACTCGTCCAAGTTTTCATTTTATCAAGTTAGACCGAAAGCACTGGAGTGCTTTAAATCACACAGTGGAGGAAATTGCAGCTAAGCAAACTTCTCAATAAACCTCCATTTTTTTTTTTTTTTTATGGGTGGAAGGCAATGCAAGTGTAAAGTTCTGCTATAACTGCAGCCAAAATGTTGCTTGAACTTTTGATAGAGTAGTTCCAGAGTAACTTTAGCGACTTTCCGTAGTGAATGAGATAATCAAACTAATTTTTCCTACAAAACTTTGCAGCGTTTTGTAAAATTCTACAGTGCTTATTGGTTTATGTTTAGCTGGAACTGTGAAAAATTATTACCTTTCATTGGAAAGGAAAGAACAGAAAGAGAAAAAGTTATAAGTACATCCGTCCGGACGCTGTGGCACCCCATATCGGAACACGCGGAGCCTTAGCGCCTACAGAACCGCGTGCTACAACAACTAATATTATTACTATGTATTATAAGTTCGGATACCGATTAACTTTCTGGCAAACAACCCTAGCCGCTAAAGCTATTGTGAACGTGAAGTAACCAACCGTCTGCAGTCAGTGTTAAAGCTCCGTGTTAAGAATGTAAATGAACACAAAATAAGACAACACAGCAGTCAAGCAATCGGGACAAAGCATCTGAACACCTAAACAAACATAAAAAAGCGTCTAAAAAAAGCAAGCAAAAAAAGAAAAAAGCTAGGACAAGAAGACCACCCACTCATGGACCCTTGGTAGAAGCGAGTCCAGGCCCCCAAATACGCGCGAAGCCCCTCAGACGCAGTGAGACACGTCATCAGGGTACCCAAGGCCGCCTACCGCCACCGAGGGCCACAGTTCTCCAGGGCGTGATTTACACTCTTCCAAGGTCCTGGTCGCGAAGCGGTTCCTTGGGAATCCGCTCACCCTCTACTTTTCTTCTTTTCACCAAGAGCTCACGAAGAAAAAAAAGAAAGGAAAAAGAAAAAAAAAAAGAAAAGAGCCGCGTGCTTGGCCGGGACTGAGCCTTACAAATTACTCGGCTTCAGAACCCGGGGCTCGAATATCAAGCGGCTGCAGCACTGAATTACTGCGCTCTCCGAGGCCATAAATGCACGGGTGACGCCACAGGACTAATGGCTTGCAACAGCCAACACCACACACTCCTGTTTGTTTGTCTTGGGTGGCGGCTGTCTCCTTGGGACGCCTATTATTTTTGCGCGCTGGGTCGAGCTGATCCTCTCGTTTCCTCAAGATGCTGGTTTGTTTTGCGTGCGGTTTAGTTAGGGGAGATTTTCGAAGGAGGGGGGAGGGGGGTTCCAACCGCGCTGACGGGTACTTGTTGCTTCGTGAATTCGAGTAACCGACGATAAACAAAGAAAAAAATAAAGAAAAGGTGCCAACAGATAAGATAAAAAAGAATGTGGGGTATTGGTTCGTGTTTTGTATGCGGCCGGGTGATGGGCATCATTTTTTATTGTTTGGGGTGGCGTGTGCAGAGTATCTTGCGTGTTGTCAGAGAGGACGCCATGCCGACGAGCGCATGCCCGAACCCTGTTTGGAGGCGGTCTTGTTTTGACAGCGACCGCTCCACGGGTCCTGGCTTGCTTTAGCCAGGAGTACGCTGTTTTGTACTGGGAATTCTTTGTGAGTTTTTGTTGAGAAACGCGACGGACTGTTCTGGAAATAATTGGCGGCGTATCCGTGCCTAAAGTCCGACACGCGCGTCACGGCGATGATACAAAACAAGTAAATAAAATGGCGAAAAAATGATAGGATAAATAAGAATATCAAGTTGTTTCGACTTAGTTCCTTGTCTGCCCTGCCTGCGACAATCGATAAGGATAAAAAAAGGCCAACTCTCAAAATTTCAAACGTGGATATTAGTCGTAAGTGAAGTGTATGTCCAAGAGTTAATAACGACTAACTTCGCAAATTCAATAACAATAACAAAAGGGTAAAAAAAACACCAATATTTGGAAGAAAATTTTTCGTGCGTCAAATTCTTCATTGGTCTTCAACCAATATTTACAAAAAAAAACTATATATACGCATGCATTAACACTGGCTGCCTATGTCTTTCTGTGCTTTTTTTTTAGATCATGCTCACTAAGAACATGCCAACGTGCCAGTAAGACTCTTTTTCGGCAGAGCTTTATGAGAGCCACTCAATCTCCAGAATAATTGGCTCGCGGACATAAATACTACTCCGGGGAAAACACACACCCATACGAAAAATTGAAGCCTGCACACACACCGTGACATTTCACGTGCTACCGTCACGCTCGGCGCCACATCCTTGGACAAATTTTTAGGCTAAAAGGATTTTGTTTCAGCCTAGCCATACATCGGGACGTCTCCGCTGATTTCAGTGATTGGCACTATAAGTGCTTTGGAGAAGAGTAGATGCACGAACACGTTCATGTTTTAGCTAATGATACTGACAGTTTAAGAAACGGACGGTGTGGCAAGCTCCAAGCCTCTTATTCTTAAGCCTCGTCCTTCACTCAACTTCCTTCTTAGATTTCGGCGATGGATTCTTTCAAGTACTTTACGGGTAAAAAGACGCTGCAGACTTCTTAAAGTGTAGGGGCCAAATGACAAATTTATGCTGATATATCAACATCCCCGTGGTTGTTATAATTGTCAACTTATGAAGAAGCGATACCCGTATATTTGGCTCTTGTTTTGACAGGGAACTTTTAATAGAAGCGTATATCGTGGCGATGCGAGTGATTAATGCCTCCCAAATAATGGAGGTGTTTTTTTGTTTTTGTTTTTTTAGGAAATTTGGAGAAAAGTGTGCTAGCGTGCCTTCGGTGTGTCTCATCGACAAAGAAATATATTTTCTAGATGGCTTATCTGATTCGATTGGCGCGTGATAAATAAGTATTTTAATGCTTAATTATTTTTTTTACGTGCACGTTTTTTTTGCAGGTGATGGTGTATATTGCTTGGTTTGATGTGCAATAAACTTAGTTGGAAGTCAGTGCCAGTCCTGTCGTGTGTGCGCCTCTTCGTCCCTGTTCAGTTTGCGCTATTTTATTAATGTCAAGAAAATGTTCGAACCTATACGGCGTAATGGGAACACAATCATCAAGAAAATTGCGGCAAACCTTCCTTATGGTACCTTTCCCCAAATCTGATATATCTTCGAAACATTATAAAGGTTGTTGTTTTACAGCTTTTGACATCAGTGATTTTTTGTTTCTGTTTTTCAGTATAATTTTAGGCAAACATTTGGTGGGTGGTGCTGAAGAGTTGCATAATGAGTGCGCAATAGCCATTTGAAAGCATGCCATCTGAATGTGTCCGAGGCGTTAAAGGAATCAAGGCAAAAACAATTTTTTTTGTTGTTGCCACTCTGAGTGCATTACAGGAGGCATATCACACAGAGAACGTCACGATATATTTCTTTACCTGAAGGAGACCTTGATCGACTTTTCGACCCTAGGCTGGTTTCGATTCAACTCACGAAAACATCATTAGACTGGATTGTAGTTGACTTTTCCCGTGCCATTCCGCCAAAAGCTGGGAGTGTTTACTGAAGATCAAAGTTGATGGGCGTTTTCCCTATATGAATTACTTAGTGGAAGCCATAGTTGTGCTTTGAGGCTGTGCGCGTGCGGAGAGTGAGCGTTCCCCAGATTCCTTTCGTACCGACAGAACTGTTGTTCCTTGCCGATAATAAGTTGCTTTACGTAGACGCTGCCGTTCTGAGACTTTTCAGAAAATCCCATTTAAATCTAGCCATTCAAAAACATCTACGCCCGAAATCAGTCAACTGTGCATATCGGGATTAAGAGAATATATGACAATAAAAAACAACTACTCTGGTACATAAAAATACAACATTGCATCGTGTTGCCGGGAAAAGAAAAAGAAAGCCCACATGAATCGAAAGAAGTCAAGACCCGCGTCTACTCCCTCTGCATCTATACGCCTATGTCACACGCTCTCTCTCTCTTTCTCCTCTATCTATCTTTAACTTTTCTGGTCAATTTCCTCCCCTGAGTTCGCAATAACCAAATAAAAGGGCGATGTAGTTTCAGAGGCTCTTGAAACTGCGGCGACGCGTGCTTCTTTCGAACAACATATCCTCCGGACCTTCAGTAGCGAGAACCCCACGCATATCCGTTACCGTAGCCAAACAACCGCGGCCCCGTGTAAGATGGGAACGAAGAGGATGAAGGTAGGGGGGCGAGGATGGAGGGTTCGGGGTTAGAAGTGTAATTTGTCACGACCGACGGGCTCGCGTCTCGGCTGTCGCCCGTCGACTGCGCGCGAAAACCAGGAGACTTGTCCCAAGCCCAGCGCGGCTGCTAAGTTTCTCGCCTGTCCCGTCCGCACCGTTCCTCTTTGTTTTGTTCGGAAGCGCAGAACTCGGCGTTGTTCTACCGAGCTGCTCGGAGACGACACCAACGGGCTCCTACGGACGTCTTTTTGCTGCTTCAACTCTGTCAGCTCTTCGTCCGGTATCCTTGGGTGCCACTCGTGTTTTCGAGAGCAGGCACTCAAGGAGTTCATCTGTTCATACGTTGAGGAAGGAGGTTTTTCGCCAAGTGAATTACGCTAGCAGGTGATATCTATAACTAGAGCGACAATGAATGGTTCGAGTGCCCTAATAATAAATAGCCCCGCCAAATATTCACTCATAGGTTATAACCTTCTTCAACCTTTTAAAGCTTCTAACAAAATCATTTTTACTAGACAGGGACATCCATACTAAGTCACTCACATCTTGAATCACGAAATTCTCACAGATAACCGAACCTATGAATATTCAGAGATCTTAAGAAAGGATGTAAAAATGAAGCCACAATATATACCTTCAAACAATCTCGTATATGCATCCATGCGTCTTGCGTTTTCTCCTGTTGTTAAATTTAAAACCCTTGATCTAATTAAGTTACTAACACGGTGACGATGTGCTTTCAACTGGAAAGCAACTGTCCTCCCAATTTGCGAAATAAAAAATTAAAATGAGCAAGCATCACGTTTTAGTTTTCATTATGTTTACGCTAGTTGCTCACAGTATTCCCACCTTGACAGCATGTGCCATAGTAGTGAACGCTCAGGTGTATGGCACTACCATGTATGATTAAAACGTGATAGAGCGACGATTCGCGCTCGTGCTAAGTAGCGCAACGTAGATTTCACACACACACAAAAAAAAGGTGTGGACGGGGGTGGGGGGGGGGGGGGGGGGTGCGGTTTGGTTGCTTGAATGTCTGCTTACCCTGTGGTTCTGGTAGGCGGTGACGGCGGTGAACTTGGTCTCGGGAAAGATGAAGGTACGGAAGTTTTCTGTCTTCGACGCGTCTTCTCCCTTGGCGTTCACGTAAACCACGTGACATCGGGGCTGGTATCGATGCATAGAGTTGAGGATTATCTGGGCGGGAAGACGTTTGAAATAATTTCGTCTGTCAAATACCGAAAGCATTTTTTTTTTAAAGTCTCAATCGAATGTTTGCTTTATTGACTCTTTTTCAACCTTGAACCACGATTGTGTTCTGGCAATATTTAGAAAGCTGTGATATTTCTTGTCACATCGCATGATATGTAATAAATTAGAGATTGTGTAAAATATTGCGGGATCATTCATGATCTGCCCTAAAGTGTGTTGGTGGCGGTGATGATAGATAGAAAATAAAAACACAGCGAGAGACGACAGGCGCACTTGTTCTTATGCACGTATCGACCATTGTCCTTGATTATTTTTACCTACCCTGAATTGTATACACCACACGAGTTTTTATTCATACAGGTCGCCAGGTTTTGTTGCCATTTATTCTATTTCTTCTATGCAACTAAAACCTTTCTTACATCGATTTATCTTAGTGTAAAGCACCGCTGATAAAGATATATATATATATATATATATATATTTAGCGTCAACTACCGATTACTGTCGTTTAATGCGAACGCTTTGAAAGATGATGAACTAAATCCAGTTCATCATATTCAATCATCCCATGCCCGTTTGCGCCCTAACATCCCGTTCGTTTGAAAGACTACGGTCAAACTATACAGCGGGTTTCCTCAAGGCCTTCGCTCTTGCTTGAGAGAATTAGATATTTGTTTTCTAATCGTGTGGGGGCGCGACCACGCTACCCTTTCCCGTACCGTCTAAGCCACTCTGAACAACTTTTCTGACAACCGTGATTGAAAATATGTGCAAATATGCTCGTCTTAAACAACTGTAGCGCGCAGATTAACAATGTTGGTTTACTTGCTTTAAATAAACTTTTCTTTTAAAAAAATCGCTTATTGAGAAGATGAAGTAGAAAAAATGTTCCGCGTGAGTCTACAGGTAGACGGCCTCATAATCTGTTTACCTAACTAATCTGGGCATTCTCCAACTTAATGTTGGAGCGAAGAGGCCAACACGGGGAGGTTGGGATGCCACGTCAGAAGGAGTTTGAGCGCTAGGAGAAAGGTAGGGTCACAGCACCACCGTCAAGCCATGGAGAGAGGAAGAAACTACTCCCTCCCTATGCGAAGGCCGTAAGAGAATGTGTTTCTTTAAATTAATAGTTTTGCTGCCGTGAAAAAAACAAAAAAAAAAAAGCACTGAAACTCAAGATGCGAGAGCAGCAACTCACGTGCCCATTGTCGTCGAGCTGGTTGTTGGTGAGCTTGAGCTTGTCGAACGAGACCACCTGCTTCATCCACTGGGCTCCCTTGGAGGGAGACTCGGGGTGCACGTGGATCCTGGGCGGCATGTTGGGATCCGCCTTGCCCGCCACCATCCAACTGGAGCTGTAGGCAACATCGGTTGAGGCAGTTTGGCTATCGACTAAGAATAATCGGAACTCCAATACAACCTCCCGATACTTTTGGCGGGCTGATGACGCAAGTTAATTACCGTTTCTCGAATTTATATATTTTTTGTCCAGAGTCAATCTTAGTCTAAGCACTGCTACATATAAGCGCACGTACAAGCAACAATATCGCACGAAACTAAACAAGACAGATAGTGCAAGTGGATAATCAAGGTATTAAAAAACAAAACAAAACAAAACAAAAAAAGTACTAATTCCTCCCCAAACCAAAAACAAACAAACAAAACACAAATTTCCTTTCAAAGAAAATTGCGAACGAAGATTCTGTAACGGAATGATCAAATAACATTAAAATCAAAAAGTGTAAGAAACCCCCCCCCCCCCCCCCCCCCCCCCCGCCCCCTCCCGAAAAACGCGACTAAGATTTGACCCATGACAAAACAAAAGCATTCACGTGCCCGCTGGTGCTTCTTATAGCATATTTTGCGTACAATCGCCAGTGCCGAGAACTGACCTGTGAAAGGCGTACCGGTAGCGCTTGTTGTCCACGGGGACGAAGTCCATCATGAGCATGAAGTCCGCCTGCGGATCCATGCCGTACAGCTTCACTTGGAACGTGGGGAACATGCGCCTGCGAAAGAAAGTATTACGACGTTACGGTCAATGTAAAGGAAAACAGAGAAGGTGGCATTAAATGAACTATTACGTCGCTTGAGAAAAAGGCGACATGGCCACTACAAAGCTTGCTCTGGCTCATTCACGCACTCACCGTATGGACCAAACAGTATGATTGACTCCAAATAGTTTCACTCTCCAGATAGTTTCTTCCTGAACGGAGATTGAAATCCATTATCATACGTATTGCGAGGTTCTTTACTTTTCGAGCTTTAATGAATGGGGTTATAAGAACACGAATAATGAAAAATGTTTTAATATACACACAATTTAGGTAGATAATAAAGCTGCTCTCCCCCACCTTCCTCCGTCATTACTGTGAAGAGTTAGGCACTTATCTTGACGAGGCCAATGCTTTTGGATGCCCTCCTTGGAAACTAAATGTTGCCGCCTGGGTTCGCCTTCATTTAAACACGCTTCAACACGGACGTTCCTTCCTGGCAGCCTTTATTGTGTACATCTCTTCGGCCGGCCCGAAACTTCATGCGATTTCCTCTATACAGATTGCACGTATACGTGGCGATTGAATTCGCCTTGTTGTACTGATCACAATGCTCATATGATGAAAACGTACCAAAATGAACTTTTAACATCTTCAGCGGCTGGCACTCTTCTTCTGTGTGTGTGTAGGGAAAAGAAGGGGGAGGGGTGAGACGTTTTGAAACAAATATATTTTGTATATACCCCACTCAACAGAGCCGAAGATGCACCCTTGTCGTCTGCTATTTCGATTTTACGGCCCGTATAAAACTCATTCTCTCGTGTGATTTACCGTTTATGAACGTCGCCTGGTAAAAAGTATGATGTTATCAGTTTTACGGTAACAAGTTAGGAATAGGTTTGGGATTACTACCCTATTCTCGAGACAATTCGCCTCCCAGAAACTTTTTCTATACTTTACCGCTAAATGCCGGCTTTATTTGCAAAGAAAGCCATATTCCGTCGACCCCAGATTTCAGAATCTGCGACTGTTTTATATTACTCCTCGAACTTGCCTAGATCTGATAAAGAAGTAAACGTCATTTTGTTTCACAGACGGAAGAAATACCGGGCCCTCCTAAAAGAAAAATAGCGTCCTAAAAGCCCTTCGCGGGGGATGAGCTCCATATGTGACCACGGTCGGAGCCGGGCGTGGGGCGTGGGGGCGGTTTGGGATTGCCCGTGACGTTGCATACATTCCCCGGATTCCGGTAGAGAGTGCACCCAATGCCGAGGTCACGCCGCTAATACATCATGCGAAATTCAATCTACATCCACTGTCTGAGTCGTGTTTCGAACATCGAACATGTCTGCAGAGTTGTTCGAAAGTTAGAAAATTCGAAAGTTCGAAGTTTGAAGTTGGGCACATACATCACAGTATGAGCACAGCATGTATGAAGCAAACATGCCACGAACATTCTTCAGGCATGTCCGCGGAGAAATCTGTCATCATGTTTACAGCAATCACCGCGTGTTTTGTATGACGATGGAGCAGAGCGACTGTGGGACTTCAAATTCTCTATTCAGCGTTGCGAGAGGCACGAGCGCGAGGAAAGCTTCGCTTTAGAACGTGATTATCTCGCGACAGTCATCGAGCGAATAAATCGTTTTGGAGAATTGGGTTTAGTCCCTGCACCTTTGGTAGACATGCGCACCACTCTTGAAATAGAGTAGAAATATATGCAAAGCGCAAGTTCGTCTTTTTTTGGCAGGGGTAGCGGTGCCGTCAGAACGCAGAGCTCTGATTGACTCTGGTTGAAGGATAGTGGGTAGACCTCAAGGCAGCTTGCTTTGAGGTCTACCCACTATCCTTCAACCAGAGCCAATCAGAGCTCTCTGCCGTTCTGACGTCACCGCAACACCTTCCCAAGAAGCAGAAGAACTTGCGCTTTGAATATATGCTTCCGCACCAACCTTTGATAAGCACAGGTCTACGAAGTTAATTTAAATGTCGACGTTTAGAATTCACACTATAAGGTCGCTCTGCCTAGGGGTAGGCCGGGAGACCTATCCTGAAGCTACTACTTGGTCAGAAGGCAAAGTGTTCCAGAAAAGTATTATGATAATGTTTTAACCCCGGCAGCAAAATTATATATGCTCTCAATTTGTCCAACTGGACGGCCTTGCGTTTCAACGTGTATTTTGTAGTACCGAACATCCGAACCATTTGAGAGATTCAAAAACATAGACATTATTATTAAGTGATTTTGTGCTATAAATGAAGCAAATTGATTTCGACAGGAATTGTTTTAGTAATATTTCCTTGGATACCTGCCATTCACTGCACCTTGTTCCTTTTAATTTTTTTATTTATATGTGTACCGTCGGTGAGCTTTACTTTGTATATACCCGCGCTCATAAATATAAAACACACGACATAGTTGGTATTGTCATGAGCAGATTTGTTTGTTACTTTTCTTGGGAGAATTGAATAAGCTCCAGAGAGGTACAGCCCCACGAAAAACGTATATCCTGCAGAGCTACAGAGGTCACGTGACGTATAAAAAGAACTATTTTTTGCGTTACTACGCTGAGACGTTTTATCATTCTGGGTGACAAAGCGAAGAGATTAAAGTAAACTAATTGTGTGCAAACGCTGGTTGCTTGTTTTTCTTGTTAAAGTGATACTTGTAATATAAAAATTAGTGTTGAAATTATAGAACAGCGTGACAGTAAGAAAAAGAAAAGACGCACCTATATTTTACTTTCACTTGGTACATCCGACTTTCCCCAACGAACGTTCGAAGGATTAACCGGTTAGCAAGATCTACCACGATTTATATAATAATCAATCAATCTGATGGTTAATCGATCATTGCCCAGCATAATTCTAGAACACGTTACCTTTATATCCTTCATTTTTTTTCCTTCCTCTTTTTAGGTACGGGTAGCTGCTCAATCACTGGCGTATGAACCAACATCATCTTGCACTATACAGCGGAGCGTCTGAAAATATTGAACGTTTTAGCGTCGCGCACATGTTGATCATCTTTCTGCAGTGCTGCGAAACGGAGAGCAAAACCAAAGTGATTCATTCGTCACGCTCAACTATGCGTCTCATACTTGGTTTCTCTAGTTTCTCCGCACGCTACAAGACTATAGGCGGGTCAGGAACGCTCTCAGCTTCTTAGCTCATTGAACAAAACGTCTTCATCCATCGAATCGTCCTCGTAAAATCATCGCCATGTAAAAAAATAAAATAAATCAGACTGTCTTCTTGCGAAGCGCGTCTGCCGCAAATGAATAGAGAGACAGAAACAGAGCGAGAAGAGGCAGCATGTCTCCGCGGGTGAATGATTGCTGCGTAGGGAATCTTCCCGCGATGGCAACCACATGGATTCGGGGGGCACGCACCCGGCACTCAGCCCAGAAGCCACAGAAGCCGTTCCAGAGAAGGGCCCCCCAAGGACACTCTGGGGTTGCGGGCCTTCTGGAAGAACGTAATCGCGCACGCACGCACGCACGCACGCACGCACTGAGCGGAACCTGAAGCAAGCGCCCGTCGCTTCCGGCTGGCGGCAACGTCATCACGGGGAAGGCTGAAGCTTGTTTAACTTCTAATGAGGACGGCGTTACGTTGCCCCGGCGTGCCTCGCTAAAGAGATTTTCATTGATGTATCATCCTTGTTCGTATACTTCGTGAACATCGCCTTTGGAGCTGTCGTCTCCAAAGGCGATGTTTTCTGTCTGTGCTCGGTTCCTTTTTTCCGAGTTGTCTTCATTAATTTGCGCCGTGTCACGTGTAAGTAAAGCGAGCTTCTCGTGACGTTTGAGTTTTGAAACTGTTTGCTGGGTAATCTGAGCGGCAAGCTTTTCAGAAAAAGGGTCCGGACGCAGGGGCACGATTTCGTTTGTCGTTTTTAGATAGGAGGAAACAAAAAGGTTGGTCTCAATATTCGTCTGTAGGAGTCTGGAGCCTAAGTAAACTTTGTTACGTTTTCGTTACTAGCTTAGGAACAGTGTTTGGGATGGAACGTGTAGGGTACAGAAAGCGAAGAGCCAAAATACACCTTGACCATTCTCGAGCTCCATCTTGGTTGTATTCGCATAAATAGAGTAACAAGAAGAATCTGTAGGTTTGCCGCGGCGCTGGAAGCAGCTATTTTGCCTTGCATATTCTTCCCTCATCTGAGCTTAAGCGTTCGGTCGTTGGACGTAAAAAGTCCTAAATTATCTCAGATATGTGGTTCACCGCAGTTGATTAAATTTCCAAGCGGAAGGAACTCCACGGGTGTAAAAACAAAATGGGATCATTTATTTATATTTATTTATTTACGAAGTACCTACATTGCCCTGTTGGCATTATTGTAGGTCTTTCCTTTTTAATACACAATGATAAATGAAAAAAATATTAAGTCGGTACCGTCAATTCATATATTCTCTTCCGGAAGGTCGTTGAACTCAATCGCGGTTTTAACAAAGAATGAATTGGCAAAACTGACAGTTTTTTGACTCAGTACTGCAACCCTTTTAAAATGATCGCAACGGAAGGAGACTGAGGGTGACTCCAAAATATGTGTGGCTTTATCAATCCCTGTTTTGTTATGAAATACACGATGAAAAAATTTTAATCTTGAGTTTTTTCTTCTACATTCGAACGTTTCCCATCCCAGCACCTTCATTTCTGTAACACAACCATTAGGATGATAGTTGTTAAGTATAAAGCGCGCTGCCTGATTTCAAATTTTCTCGAGTTTGTTTATAAGGAAGTCGTGATATCGCTTCCACACGACGCACGCGTAATCTAGGATCGTTCTTACCAAATGAAAGTGGAGCGCGTTGACGCGGATATAAAATTGCGACGGATAAAATAAAACATTCTATGACCTTTTCAATTGTTCATTGCTTGACTTTCACTGGGGAAACAATGGTGAGTTGATCGAGCTATACTTCCTTTTAGCTTGATTCCAAGTCAGACGCAGCCGATGCTACAAGCGCGAGCGCCGGGCTTTCAGCGTCTCTGCCAAGCACGCGCGC